AGGGGGGCACCCGGCCTAGAGGTACCCGCTGCTGGTGCTGCAGGTGGCGGACAACCCCCACCCCTCCTCCCTCCCTCCATCCACCTTACCATCGCGACATATCCTGATCGGATGCATGGGGGACTTATATATATGCCGGTGCTAGTATGATACCACAGCACGGGCGCTTTTCGAAAAACACCGCTAGCCAGTGTGACGTGGTTGGGCAGGGAGGGGGAAGCGTGGGCTGTACCAAAGTGCTGGCAAGGCCGCGCAGCCTTGGCGACACACACGACCCAATGATAATGACCTGTGCTAATAATGAGATCTATTATTAGTTGTATTACAAGAAAAAACACAAATGTAATAAAAATAATAGGGAGGCGGGGAATGAGACACCTGAAACACATACCTGCACCTGCTGTGAAAACCGTCACGTTTTTTTTAGGATACCACGGTGACATTGTTTTTCATATGACTTCAGAATTTACCATACTTGGTCTGACTGAGTCACGTTAAAACGAATGTATGAGATCACGACGTTTGTCATTGGAGTATTTTTCATCATCCAGATAAGTGGTCGGATTTATCAAATAAATGACTAACTCTATCCAAAGGACACGTCAACATGTACATATTTGAACACACATTTACTGCACTTGAATGCACCTACAGATATACAAAGTGGATGTTGTTTTTTTGTTCAGACACTCTAATCCCTATGACAGAACTTTAAGTTCAGTCGAACCATAAACTATAAAAGTGGACTCCTTTCCACCCGGGTCGGGTACGTTGACGCCGTTTTGACGATATTTTGACAGAGACTTTCTCCTGACAGTGGACACAGTGAGAAATTAAAGTGGAATCGAAGTCGAAACGACATCGAAACGATGTAAAACTATGGTCGAATCGACGTCGAAACGAGATCGTTTAGACATGCATTTGGGATGGGGGATGCTTGAGAAGAACAAAGTAGTTCGTAAAATGCGGTAAAATGTACAATTCTTCGCAGCCCAACCGGCCCCGACTCTACGTGAGAAGGGCGAAAGGAACTGAGTGTGATAATCGTCAGAATCGCGTTGGCATCCCGTGGCTCTGAGCTGCTGACTCCACGGCTCATTTCCTCCTCGTACTATAATTGCTGACAGCAGAACTGGAGGGCGTAAAATATCCGTTGACCGCGGTTAAGGGCAGCAGGGTCCATCCGTAAATGACGAGGTATTTTACACATCTTATAAATTCATTCCAATTTCTCCCGGCGCGCGGTAGGCCTAACCTAAATTAACCAGCACCCAGCAACTCTGTAAAGACATTACGACCGTGAGCGTGAGCTATGGTATATGGTCAGTCCCCACCGGTCCCCGCTCCGAGGGAGATCGGCTGGCGCGCTCGTGTCTGGCTGTGGCGTGTCCGGCCGCCCCCGCCGCCCTCGGCGTCCCCGGCCCGAGGCGAGGCCCCGCCGATGGTCATTGCCGTGCTCTACGGGTGTGGGGCTCGGCCGGCGCTCTCACGCTCGCCAAACTCAGAGGTGCCACTCGCGTGTGACGATTAAACAACAATATAAAGAGATAAAAATATTGTTTTTCCTTTTCCTGTCCCGTTTCTCTTGTTCTTTTTGGCCAAACTCAACTTTGTGCCCATGACGGTCCATGACTGAAGGTTGACCCCCGCCCCCAGCAGCTGTTCACACACAAAGCTATCCGTTATTTCACACATATTGGCGAAGAGCGGCAGGAGGAGTGCGTCGGGTCGGTGCTACATGAGCGCCATGCAGCGCTCCGGCCCCAGCGGCGCAGCGGAGGAAGGGCGGGTCCAACACGGAGCGGGCACTCGCCCCGCCCGCTCCGCTCCGCCCCGGCCCGGTCCCTCCTATCGCCCTCGCGACTATGTTTGCTTAACTATCTCCGCCCTGCCGTGGAAAATGATGGGTTCCGGTTCCGTTCCGAACGAGTGCCCACGTACGGACAAGAAGAAGGGGGAGGACGAGACGCCACGCCGCCACCAGAACACAACATGACGCGCGCGGGCTTCGAATGACGACAGGTCGTTCACGAGAGAAAACAGAAAACACACATATGGCTCGCATGTGTGTATAATCGAATCAGATATCAACAGCAGCGTGAAGGCGGCGGGCTCCGGTCTAAGTAAGGCCGCGGCGCGGGCGCCAGGGCGGCCCGAGGGAAGTTCCGCCGGCTGTCACGTGACGAGGACCAGCCGCGACCGCAAGTGGGAAGGAGACTGACGATGACGCGCGCCCAACAGTGGCAGTGGGCCGGGCCACGCGTGCGGTGGAGTAAATCAAACAGCGGGGTATAGCTCATTCGGCTGTCGTACATGGGGGTCCAATGCGAGACTCCTCCGGGATGAATCCAGAATGACATAAAAAGGTAGAGAAGGGGTGGCTCATTTGACACCTCCAACTTAAATTACCGGTACGTAATCGTCCAGCACGCAGGTAACTTGGATAACCCCCTGACAGTGCGTTTAGGAATCATCTGCAGACCATACGTCAGTCGTTCACCGTTACGATTCGGCCAAGTTCAACCGCTCCAGCGAGCTCTCATGGCGCCTGATAGGTAGACAACATCTTACCTCCAGTGCATGCGTGTATTGCAGGGTGGCCTACCCTACCTATCGCAGGCGGCAAGCTGCCGTAATTTGTCAAGTGAATGAAGAGAAATCGGCGGAAATCGGACTGAATTTCTGGACGATCCCTTACGGTTCAGGAGAGTGGGCAAGCCTCCCGCACACGTATCCGGAAGTATGCAGTACAGTCTAGCCACGGAGGTGGACGGGGACGCGGTTAATTCGCCAGCCACCGAATACTTGATTCTAGTCAACACCATACCGAGCAAAACCAAGGCTTGACTTACCAGGAACTGGAAGGACGAGGGTCGCAGGTTGTAGAACCAGGCTGTCTTCTTGGTGGAGCTAGGCTTTGGCCACACCTCCCCCTTGGATGCATGGACGGAGGGCCCGGGCGGCACTACAGACAGACCATCAGCCTGTCCGGAGACAGTGGCCGCCAACCCCTAGTAGGAAGAACACATTTTAGAAAATGGCAATGTGACCGTGGCGCCGGTAAGGATGAAGCAGTCTGGGTGATTTTAACACGTTGAGTACCAGGGGGTCTCGTTTCACTTGCTATTGTGGCCGTACTTGTGGTCATATGTTGGACTCAACGTGTGAAAGGCTGGATATATTACATTTAGGGAAAATTTGTAACGCATTTCCGACCAAGTCCTTCGGTTTGTGGTGAATATTAACTCCTTGGAATACGTCATAACGTGAATGGGTTTGTGTTGAATTGGCCACTAACCAAGACCACGACGAGGAGGACGGCGAGCATCTCCGGCGCGCTCATCTTTGTCGGCTAGCAGCAGCTTGGAGGGAAGCCGGTGCCGACTTCGAGATGCGTCGTCACGTGCGAGCGGCGGCTGTTCGTCGGGATCCTGGCGATGCGGGGGGAAGGAGCGCGCAGGTGTCACTTTGTCACAACACGGACGGACCCGATGCAAATCACTGTGTGAGAGGACGGCGCAGGTCCTGCGCAGTGTCCATCAAGAGCGCGCCTATTTACGGCTGATAAGACGGCGCTCCCGATAAGCGGAGTCGGACGCCCACTCAAGTGGACTCCCCTTACCTGGACGGGTGGAGCGGTCGCGGGGGCGGGACGGGACGGCCGCGGGGCGCGCGACCACGCTCTTGTTGTCCCCCGCGGCACGCACGGGGCGTCGGCGTCGCCCTCGAGACGCGGCGGGCGCCTGTGTGTGTGCTCGGAGTGTGCCGGCGGCGCGTCGTCGAGCTGGTCGTGTCGGTCGTGTCGGTGCAACTGATACACGCTCAGCTGCCGCGCGCTGCCGCGCCGCCCGCAGCCCGCCGCCCGGGCCCTGCCCCGCCCCGCCCCGCCACAAGGCTGCCGTGGGCCAGCCAGGGCCGCGGGGCTCGTCTGCCGCTTGGGCTGGTCAGGCCCGCCCCGCCCCGCCCCGCCGCGTCGCGTCGCGACCTAACGGCAAGTCCACGCTGCCGCCGCTCGCACGCCGCAGCCCAGCTGACTCAGCTGAGCACCTCTGCTTTCCTGCCCCGCCGGGCTCCGCCCCGGTCAAACAGCTGCCGCAGCAACGCCGCACGCCGCGGGGTCACGCGTGGTCAGCCGCGCCGGCAGCGCCAGCCGCGCAGGCAGCCGGCGCGCGCCGCGGTGCGGTGGGGTGCCTACCTCCGGGGCGCACCGTCCTGGAGCACAACTGTTGCTCGCGCGGGCCGGGCCGGCCGGGCAGCAGGATGCTGCCGGGGGCGGCGGGGGGCGGAGCGGCGGCGGCGGGAACGGCAGCGGCGGGCGGTGCGCGCCCGGCCCGGAGCGAGATGAGGGAATGCCGCCAGTACGGCCTACCCTCCCGGCGCGCGCGGACCAGCGGGGAACAGCGTGCGCTCGGGGACCGGACTGCGCAACGCCCGCGCCCGCACCGGGGCCAGCCAGGGGGAGCCGGCCCGGCCACACGGGCGACAGACAGAGGTAAGGGGCGGCGGGCGAGTGAGCCCACGAACGCCAGCGGGGGTCCGCACAGGGACTGTAATCCGGTAGTACAGGGAAAAGCTCGGCGGCGGCACTCGAGGAGATATAATATAGCGCAGACTTCCGCTCTGAAGAAGGTTCATCAAATATTTGCGCTCGGCTCCTGTTGGCGGAGGGTCGCTCCCGGCGGGGTCGCCGGAGCGTACGCGCCCCCCGCCCCCGCCGGCGGGTGTGCACAAGGCTCTCAGGGGCCTTGTTGTCCTAGCTGGGATGTGGAAGTGGAGGTGTTGATTGATCACTTATGATCCGTATCGCCCGCTGCCGGGCTGCCCGTGGCGGGTGGTGGGCGCTGTAGGTCGGCGGTGAGAGGAGGAGAGGCTAGAAAATAAAAATTAATGACTGAAACTCTCTGAGCGGTAAAAAATGGAATTGAAGCCGTGACGTTTGTTTGAACGAAGGTGTGTGTGTGGCCGTGTAGGGGTGGGCGCGGGGACGAGGGATGGATGATGGAGCGCGGCGCGCTTCTATTTGGTCCTCCATCGCGCCGTTCTATCCGTGCCCGTCGCAGACCGGCCCCTCGCGTATGTAATCCCCCCCCCCCT